TTTGAAAAACACTTAGGCCGGTATTCATATATAGTCAGATCTTATATAATAAGATACTCCGTAGTCAATGAAACGAGTTGTTCAGCATCCAAATATAAAACTTAAGATGATCTCAAATATAAGATCTGACTATGAATATCGAAAATAAAGTTGGAATAAATTACGTCGTATAATCAAATTATACATTTTGAATTTATATTATTCTACAAGTATAAAAAAATGTGTTTATTTTTTATAGATGTTTAAACGCCTTTTTGTTTTAATTGAATAGGACTTTCCTATTGGAACATGGAATGGCTAGGCATTCTATTGCTATCGGGAATAATCTCAAATGTAGCCGCAGAACCGTAAGTACAAATATATCAATCAGATATATATTATTGTCAGATATATTTTCATTCAAAATGATTTATCTCATGACGCCTCGTAATAACAAACTATGTTTGCATTGCGATCTATGAAAGCCCACCGTATATTTGATTGTATTGTAACGTGGGATAATTCCTCAATGTTAACAATACTAACGGTAGATAGTTTTTTTTTTTTTTTAATAAGTCCGAAGAAAGAATAGAATGGAAAAGCTGGAATGAGGAAGATTCTTGTTCTCCTTTAAGGTATTACACTATTATTGCGCCGAAAGTGGTACGTCCTGATTCAGAATATCATGTAGCGGCGAGCACCACCGGCGTGTCGACGCCGTCAGTGATATACGTTGAATTGACTGGCGAACTGGATTCGGGAAAAACATTCAACATTTCACGGACCGCAACCGTCGAGCCTTATTCCACTCAGATCTTGCGATTAGACGTACGTATGAATTTGCGGTCGTATAGTCTAATATTGTAGTAGCCTGTATGAATTTTCTTACTTAAAAATGAGAACTATCTACTACTTTATGTCGTAATTTAACATTCATATAATGGATTTTGCTTATAATGTGTAGATTGGTGAAACCACGCCGGGAAAATACAAACTCACAGCACGCGGTCTGTCCGGTATTGATTTTTCTAAATCGAAGGATATCGAGTATGTACATAAAAGTTACTCCGTCTTCATCCAGACCGACCGGGCGATTTATAAACCCGGTCACAAAGTTATGTTTCGTTGTATAATATTGGATTCGAGGCTGAGACCGAGCATTGTGGGACCGACGGACGTATATATCGTCGTAAGTGCATACATATATATACAAGTATATGTATATATCTTTCACTGTTACATAGAACTTATGTGTGCATGTCATGTAAACTTTGATGCTCATAACAATAAAATAGCCCTTATAGAAATTTAATACTGTATATAAGTGATTATTTGGCTAGTAATTAATTACTTATTTTGAGTATTAAAATCATTAAAAACAGTACTTTTAATATTCGAAATAAGTAATTAATCACTAGCCAAATAATCACTTACAGTATTAAATTCCTGTAAGGGAGTACTAACTTTTCTTGAGAATATACAATTATTATTGTAAAGTACTATTCAGTATTTGTACTTCAAATACTTAAGAAAAAAATTTACTACAGGATGGCGATGGTAATCGTATCAAGCAATGGATTCGGCCACCTGTGACTCATGGTATTTTCGGCAGTGAATTGGAGTTGTCGCATTCACCAGTGTTAGGAAGGTGGAAGCTTGTTGCCAACGTCGGCGATCAGACGTTTGAAAAGGAATTTGAAGTCGCGGAGTACGTTCTACCGAACTTCGAGGTGACGATCGACTCGCCGAAGCACGTACAGTTCAAAGAATCGAAAGTCACGGCAACTGTCCACGCAAAGTAAGCGACTGTTCCAACAACAATTTACGAGGGAGATAAGTTTTATGGATTTGCGGAAAACTCCCATCCAGTCTCATCCGCGTGAATCTTACGTTTCTCAGCGAAGATAGACTTTGGAGATGGTTTTTCAGTCATCTCAGGAAATTTTAATTTATAATCACTTAAAGAATTGATAATGATTTGAACTATTTGACACTACTTAAGCCACATTTGACCGAAAGTATTCATTTGTAAGTGAACATAATTTAGGTACACCTATGGAAAACCAGTAAAAGGTGAAGCTACGATAACGGCTTATCCAGACATTTTCTCTGGCGTGATCCAACCCATATTCCAACAACCTGTGAGAAAAGTGGTACCGATTAACGGAAAAGTTACAATCGATTTCGATATATTGTCTGAATTAAGGTAAATCCGATATAATATTGCATTGGTTACAGATATATACTGCGTATTGCCGATTTTCCTCTTACTTTTCAAAGTATTGTAGCGTTTAAAAAAGTTTCTGCTTATAAGGAATAAAAAATTGCCGAAACTTATATTACGTACTTTTTTGACACTCGACAAGTTTTAAATTATGAAACATTGTATATATATTGCACCGTACACATACCTACTAATACATTATCTTATAGATTAACTGACGAATATGAAAGACCCATTATGATCGACGTAGTGGTGGAAGAGGAATTAACTACCCGAAGGCAAAACGCTTCGGCACAAATAACGCTACACAAACACCCGTACACGATGGAATTAATAAGAACATCGGAATATTTCAAACCCGGACTGAAATATACTGCTTTCGTAAGTCGAATATCTTATTATAATACTCAACAAATAAACTTGAACACTCAAGTTGCAACTATTGTGTAATATATTACATCTTTTGCAGTTAAAATTGACATATCACGACGGATCGCCAGTACAGGACACCAAAAACGACGTCTTGATAGCATACGGGTACACATATAATCAATCGGCGTATTCAAATATCACAAGAAAATTAGATGAGCATGGCATGGTGCAATTAGACTTTTATCCGCCTAAGGCAAAGGATAACATCTCCTTTCCTCTAAATGTTGAGGTAACATTATTAATCAAGCCTCCGTGTATGTTACTTAGAAATACCTAATTGCGATACCTAATTGTTTGTGTATATACGCAGGCACAGTATTTAAACCTCCACGAATGGTTTCCCTCAACTAATCAAGCCATGTCCGTAAGCAACGAATACATCCAAGCGATTCTGAAAACAGAAAAACCAACAGTACGTTTTGCATCTGTTATCATTACGTAGAAATCTTTCGACTACAATAATATTCTCACAATCTTTTAATTTGCAAGGTGAACAATTACGTCGACATCGAAGTGAATTCTACCGCACCGTTGAAATACATAAGTTATGAGGTACTTGGTCGCGGTGATATCTTGCATGCAGACTCGATCTACGTGCAAGACAAGTACACGACCTCATTCAGGTAAGTAGTTAAATATTAAAGAAGAGTGTTCGGACTTTTCTGAAGTCGAATTTTAAGTCTTTTGAATCGTTCGGGTCGTAAAAAAAAAAACAATTCTGAGATTCAAACTTTTGCCGGTATTCATAGCCTAATCTCATATTTAAGATCGTCGTAATAAATACTACCTTGAGACGCTATATGGTCTCTTTATTGGCTGAATGGAGTCCTAAGACCGCCTTTGATCAGACTTAATGATCTTAAATATAAGATTCAACTATGAATATCACTCTTTGACAGCCCGATCGTACAAGCGAAACTTTTTGCTCGAAACTTTTGCCCGAGTTTTAGATTAAAATTGATATTTTAAGGCCATTGCACGTAACAAAGTTTTAATCATAATCGTAAGGCCGTATGAAAATAGACCAATCACAACTCGATTATTCTTCGAGCTCAAGGAGAATAATCGACTGTGATTGGTCTATTTTCTTACGGCCTTACGATTATGACTAAAACTTTGTTACGTGCAATGGCCTTTACATAATATACAAATACGTTTCAGGTTTTTAGCAACATACGTCATGGCACCCACTGCACATGTAATTGTATACTACGTACGGACGGATGGAGAAGTAATAGCGGACTCATTAGACGTTGAACTCACGGGAGTGCTTCAAAATCATGTAAGTCATCGCAAGTTATTATAACGCTTGTGAAACGCGCTCAAGTTTCACATTAAAGATTTACATTAGAAAAAAATGTAGAGCGTGAATGTAAATAATATTCTAACATTATAATCTGCGTACTTATAGATCGATCTTAAAGTAACACCAGACGAAGTTGCGCCCGGAGCTAACGTTAATATTATGGTATCTGCGAAACCGAATTCTTTCGTTGGATTGTTAGGTATTGACCAGAGATCCATGTTGCTGAAATCTGGAAATGACATCTCTTATGTACGTAGTATGTTATAAATATCTGTAAATTTCTGTTGGAGCGATTTCACTTAATTGATTCCGATTGCATTCATTAATTGCGCGCAGGATCAAGTGTATAAGGAGCTGCAGTCGTACGATAAGGCAGAAGCGTCGCCACACGCAGATGCGTTCTTCGGCCGTCACCTCTGGAGGCCCGGCTCAGGAACAGCGGACGACGTCTTTCAAGTAAAACATGCTGGGATATATTTCATCTTATTATCCTCTCGCTTGTTATCCGATAATCAGATTAAAATGACGAATGTCTTTAACAGAAAACTGGCGTGGTAATCCTCACAAACGGATACGTCCACGAGAATTTCCCTATACGTAAGTGTCGAAATGCAAAATTTAAGATACACTTATTATATTTAGTAAAAGGACTAACGCGCACTTAAAAACATAACGCGCACATTCGTTAAATATAAAGTATTTTGTAGAATATGCGACACATCGAATAACTATTATATTCCAACTTATTTATAATATAGCATGAGAATAACATCCTTGTTCTCGATTTATTCTTTTTAATCAGTATCGACCGTTGAGCCGATCTCGGTCAGATTAGATATATATTTTTTAACCGAGCTTGTATGTGTGTAGTATACTACAGATCTAGTATCCAGGACGACGTGATGTATGCGTCCGCTGCGGGAATGCCGGGACTCTCAGGCCCGGCTGCTGTATTACCGCCTGAGAAGGTCAAAGTTCGCAAGAATTTCCCTGAAACTTGGCTTTGGCAAACGCTTGACGCTGGGTAATGCCATTGACATAATAAATTATCATGCATACACTATCATTTTACACATCCACTCGTTAATTTTTTGAACACGTAATTATTCACTTAGAAAAAAAAAAAAAAAAAAAAAAAAAAAAAAAACTTACTGTTTCGTAGCACCTCTTTAATACATCTTCAAGCTACTATTTCATTTTGTATGATATAATCTTTTTTTAGGACTAAGAATTTTGATAGAAAATTTGATATCCAAAATCTACACTCTATTCTATATTCTATTAAAATATTAACATGTATAATAACAATAAAATCTGTACAACAAGAAATAACGCAAACTAGAATGCTTCGCATTAAAGTTGTTGCGGTGGAAAATGGCGCTGGGTAACTTATGGTGATGGAAAAAAATCTTCAATTTTTCAGGATCCTTATTTTGCATTTCCGTCGATTTGGAAACGCTCTGTACATACACGCGCTGTACTCTGTATATAATTTGATTATTATTTAACATGTGGATTTAGGTATCATTATCTCTAATATACATGATATATGTATATAATATATTTACTTCGGATACAATCCGAAATTGAATTTAATATCTTGTCTACTTGTCTATAACTTTTAATATATGTTAGACAAACATCTATTTCTGATAATTTCTTTTACGTAAATAAAATTTTTTAATTTTCAGAATATGATTCCACGGTCTTGTAGCTTACGCGTCACTCTTAAACGTGGCAATAATATTTATATAAATATATTAGAGACTATAAATTTATTATTTGAGATTGGTAAAAAAATTTTCAGAGATAGAATCTAAGAAATCTGATACGATACAGTAGGTGCAGAGCTGGTGAAATAAAATATATCAATTATTTATTATGAAATTAAGCCTCTCTTATACAGATTTATAATTATCTCTAACTATTATAATTTCTTATGCATTAAATATTCTGTGAAGATAATCATATCGTGTCAAAAATTAAAGAAATATTCATTAGGCTATATCGATAGTATTTGAGTATAGCGATAGAGATTACCTTACTTCGATTCATGATCGGGGCTGGTGTAATACAACATGCAGAATTGGATTGCAGGACCACAAATTTTGGAGGGTAGAATAACGGGCTCGCCTCACGGGTTGTCCACGCTTCGACCAGACCTTGGTCCACCTGTCACGCACAGATTAGCGACAAGACCACCGTTGGCAGGTCCTTACGCATTCTCTCGCATCCCAACCCCTGTCTGGAATAAGCCCCGTGTATTCCTAATGCATGACATCTTAAACACCTGGCTTTTCACAAACTTCTCTTCAGGGTATTTATTTCGTATCTTGTATACTTTTAGCGTGTTATGCGCGTCTGTATAAATACGGTATATATGCAGGGTGTACGTGTATTGAAAAAAAAAAGAGAAAATCTGCCGTTTCGAAGTTAAGTAAAATATTGCTTCCGCTCGATATATCGGCCTGAAATTTACCTCTCGCGAGTTTTTCAGTTACACCCTGTATACCTGTAAATAACGTGCATACCGTATTGTACAGTTACGTGAAAGTTGATCAAGGTAAAAGGTGCGATCTCATGTTTCTCAAGAATGTAAATGTAAGTTGCGTTACAAAGGCTTGTTCTGCGCATCATGCATATCTCAGTTCTCGAAAAATGAACTGTCTTGCATCATGTCATTCACAAAGGAACGATCGATTTTTATCCGCGTATAACACCGTTCGCTATTTATACATCATTTAATGTTAAAACGTGTGTCTCCGCATTTGTAAAGGTGAAGGATACGTAAGAATATTTCATATTACATCAACTTGCTTGTATCGTGTATACCTGTATTGTCGCTTCATTAGAAAGCTGCAATATAATCTCTTTTATCGCTATCCAAAACATACTTTTCGGAGGTAGATCAGTTCATCGTATATATCAATTTATTTATTATTTAAATGATAAAAGTACACGAGATGTAGGATACCCTCTAAATACTTCACCTTTGTTGCGCGATTATGATAATATTAAGTACATGTGCTCTTGCAGGTATAATGGAAAAACAGAATTACGACGCGTTGTACCAGATTCCATCACATCGTGGATACTGACTGCATTTTCCGTCAACGACGCGCACGGATTAGGCCTCATAGAGGAACCCAGAAAGGTTGTTACAGATATGTATACATACATACACATTTAATATGATCTATATACGCGCGCGGAAATCCCGAGATTAAAGACAAACCAATTTATTTAATAAATTTCCTTGGGGAGTAAATTTAATAATTTAATTTGCTATAACAAAGTAAATGGCGCAAGTTTCATTAATTCTCCGAGTCTCTTTTCTCGCGCGGTTCACTATTCTGATTTTATTGATTTTTTTACCAATCTCTTCTTTTAATCTGCAATAAAAATGGCGCAAAGTTGAATTACATGTATGACGATTATCTTTATATATACGTGCGGTATATGTAAACGCGATAAAAATTTGTGCGGCATTGTAGCAAAACAGAAAACTGTTTTATAGAAGTATAAAAAAGATGATCGCTTTAATCACCGCACTATTGTATTATATATTATTTATTATCTGTTTATTAGTTGAAAGTCTTCAAGCCCTTCTTCATATCCGTGGATTTGCCGTACTCGGTAATACGTGGAGAAATCGTGGGGATACAGATTGTGGTGTTCAATTATATGAATAAGGACGTGACAGCTGAAGTTCTGCTAACAAACGAGGGACAATTTGACTTCGCGGAAGTTTCTAATGAAGTTCACGATGTACCGAGTAAGTGATGTAATGTTATTTAAGTCGAGAAAAAAAGAGAATGACAATAATAGACTTGTTGTTTATA